AATTGCCGTGGCTAGGACCTCCAGTACTACGTTGAATAATAGTGGGGAGAGTGGGCATCCCTGTCTTCTTCCCGATCTCAGAGGAAAAGCTTTCAGCTTCTCACTGTTCAGTATGATGTTAACTGTGGGTTTCTCATATATGGCCTTTATTATGTTGAGGGACTTGTCCTGTGTACCCATTTGGTTGAGAGTTTTCATCATGAATGGATGTTGAATTTTTTCTAATGCTTTTTCATTATCTATGGAGATGATCATGTGGTTTTTGTCCTTTTTGTTTATGTGGTAAATGATGTTGATGAATTTTCAAATGTTATACCATCCTTGCATCCCTAAGATGAATCCCACTTGGTTGTGGTATATGAACCTTTTGATATATTTTTGAATTCGGTTTGCTAATATTTTGTTTAGTATTTTTGCATCTACATTGATCAGGAATATCGACCTGTACTTTTCTTTTTTGGTGGGGTCTTTGCCTGGTTTTGGTATTACGGTAATGTTGGCTTCATAGAATGAGTTTGGGAGTATTCCCTCCTCTTCTATTTTTTGGAAAACTTTAAGGAGAATGGGTATTATGTCTTCTCTATATGTCTGATAAAATTCCAAGGTAAATCCATCTGGCTCCGGGGGTTTTGTTCCTGAGTAGTTTTTTGATTAGTGCTTCAATTTCTTTGCTCATAATTGATTTGTTAAAATTTTGGGTTTCTTCCTTGGTCAGTCTTGGAAGGTTGTATTTTTCTAGAAAGTTGTCCATTTTTTCTTCTAGGTTTTCCAGTTTGTTAGCATATAGGTTTTCATAGTATTCTCTAATAATTCTTTGTATTTCTGTGGGGTTTTTGTGATTTTTCCTTTCTCGTTTCTGATTCTGTTGATGTGTGTTGATTCTCTTTTTCTCTTAATAAGTTTGGCTAGAGGCTTATCTATTTTTATTTTCTCAAAGAACCAGCTCTTGGTTTCATTGATTTTTTTCTATTGTTTTATTCTTCTCAATTTTGTTTATTTCTTCTCTTATCTTTATTGTGTCCCTCCTTCTGCTGACTTTAGGCCTCATTTGTTCTCCTTCTTCCAATTTCGATAATTATGACATTAGACTATTCATTTGGGATTGTTCTTCCTTCTTTAAGTATCCCTGGATTTACTTTCCTCTTAAGACTGCTTTCGCTGCGTCCCACAGAAGTTGGGGTTTGTGTTGTTGTTGTCATTTGTTTCTATATATTCCTTGATCTCTATTTTAATTTGTTTGTTCATCCATTGATTATTTAGGAGCATGTTGTTAAGCCTCCATGTGTTTGTGAGCCCTTTTGCTTTCTTTGTACAATTTATTTCTAGTTTTATACCTTTGTGGTCTGAAAAGTTGGTTGGTAGGATTTCAGTCTTTTGGAATTTACTGAGGCTCTTTTTGTGGCCTAGTATGTGGTCTATTCTGGAGAATGTTCCATGTGCACTTGAGAAGAATGTGTATCCTGTTGCTTTTCGATGTAGAGTTCTATAGATATCTGTTAGGTCCATCTGTTCTAGTGTGTTGTTCAGTGCCTCTGTGTCCTTACTTATTTTCTGCCCAGTGGATCTATCCTTTGGGGTGAGTGGTGTGTTGAAGTCTCCTAAAATGAATGCATTGCATTCTATTACCTCCTTTAGTTCTGTTAGTATTTGCTTCACATATGCTGGTGCTCATGTATTGGGTGCATATATATTTATAATGGTTATATCCTCTTGTTGGACTGAGCCCTTTATCATTATGTAATGTCCTTTTTTATCTCTTGTTACTTTCTTTGTTTTGAAGTCTATTTTGTCTGATACTAGTTCTGCAACACCTGCTTTTTTCTCCCTGTTGTTTGCCTGAAATATGTTTTTCCATCCCTTGACTTTTAGTCTGTGCATGTCTTTGGGTTTGAGGTGAGTCTCTTGTAAGCAGCATATAGATGGGTCTTGCTTTTTTATCCATTCTATTAACTCTGTGTCTTTTGATTGGTGCATTCAGTCCATTTACATTTAGGGTAGTTATTGAAAGATATGTGCTTATTGCCATTGTAGGCTTTAAGTTTGTGATTACCAAAGGTTCAAGGTTAGCTTCTTTACTATCTTACTGTCTAACTCGCTTGTTGAGCTATTATAAACATTGTCTGGTGATTCTTTATTTCTCTCCCTTCTTATTCCTCCTCCTCCATTCTTTATATGTTGGGTGTTTTATTCTGTGCTCTTTTGTGTTTTCCTTAACTGCTCTTGTGGGTAGCTGATATTATTTTTTGCCTTTATTTAGTATTTGGTTGGTGTACTTTCTTTGCTGTGAATTTATTTTCTCTGGTGACATCTACTTAGCCTTACAAGTGCTCCCATCCAGAGCAGTCCCTCTGAGATACCCTGTAGAGGTGATTTGTGGGAGGCAAATTCCCTCAACTTTTGCTTGTCTGGGAATTGTTTAATCCCTCCTTCATATTTAAATGATAATCGTGCTGGATACAGTGTCCTTGGTTCAAGGCCCTTCTGTTTCATTGCATTAAATATATCATGCCATTCTCTTCTGGCCTGTAAGGTTTCTGTTGAGAAGTCTGGTGATAGCCTGCTGGGTTTTCCTTTGTAGGTGACCTTTTTTTTCTCTCTGGCTGCCCTTAATACTCTGTCCTTGTCCTTGATCTTTGCCATTTAATTATTATGTTGTCCTCTTTAGGTCCCGTCTCTCGGGAGTTCTGTGTGCCTCCGTAGTCTGAGCAACTATTTCCTCCTCCAGTTTGGTGAAGTTTTCAACAATTATTTCTTCAAATACACTTTCCATCCTTTTTCTCTCTCTTCTTCTTCTGGTACCCCTATAATGCGGACATTGTTCCATTTGGATTGGTCACACATTTTTCTTAATATTGTTTGATTTCTGGAGATTCTTTTATCTCTGCGTCAGCTTCTCTGCGTTCCTGTTCTTTGATTTCTATTCCATTAACGGCCTATTGCACCTCATCCAGTCTGCTCTTAAGTCCTTCCAGAGATTGTTTCATTTCTGCAATCTCCCTCCAGACTGCATCCCTTAGCTCTTGCATATTTCTCTGACGATCCATCAGCATGGTTATGACCTTTATTTTGAATTATTTTTCAGGGAGATTGGTTAGGTCTGTCTCCCCAGATTCCTTCTCAAGGGAGGATGTCTGGGTTAGTCTGGTCTGGATCAAATTCTTCTGCCTTTTCATGGCAATAGAGGTAGTTGTGTGGAGCTGGCGCATGTGTCGGCTAGGAGAATGTCCCTTCTTGCCGGTTTGTGGCCTTCCTCTCCTGGGAGAACAGCGACCCCCAATGGCTGTGCTGGGCAGCTGCGCACAGACAGGGTGTCCAATTCTTGCCCAGTTGCTGTGGAAGCTCTTCGCAGTTGCTGTGGGCGTGTCCACTGCCCCCATGGCAGAGTTACGCCAGAGGGGGAACAGGTGGGATGCTGTTTATCACCGTAAGAGGCCTTCAAGCTGCACTGCCACCCAGGGAGTTGGGGCGCCCGGAATTCCCCAGGATTCCCAGTAACTGGGCTGATTGCACCAGGGCCCTTCCGTCCAGCTGTGAGGACCCTGTCCCTTTAAGATTTTCAAAGGGCACTCACTTTTCTTTGTCCCGTGGGTGCTGGTTGCTGCGACCCGCTCACAGGTCTTACTGTCCTGTTTCCCCAGCATCCAGCACACCATGCACTGTGTGTCTGCACTCCAGTGTGGATGGCTAGGGCTGGCTATTTTGCAGTCCTGTGCTCCCTCTCCCTCCCCGCTCCGACTCCTCTCCTCCCACCAGGAGCAGGATGAGGGGCGCGCTCGTGTCCTGCCGGGCCGCGGCTTGTGTCTTATCCCCTTCACAAGTCGCTGGGTTCTCACAGGTGTGGATGTAGTGTGGCTGTTGTCCTGTGTCTTCTCGTCTCTCTTTTAGGAATAGTTGTATTTGTTTTATTTTCAAAAATATATATGGTTTTGGGATCTACTCATACCGCCGTCTTGGCTCCACCCCCCTGTATTACTTTTGTTGTTAAAAGAATATTAAACTGTCTTCATAGTGTAATATTGTTCAACTTCACCAACAAGAATTTGTTCTTGAATAACTTCTTACAGAATTGTAATGTGTGTGTGAGACTGTGCGTACTTTCCAAACACATCTAATGTACATGTGTAAAATGCGTCAAGGCTCTGAGCCATTTGATATCCAAAGGTCTGGCTTAATTATTAAAATTACACTTCACTGTTGCGTGCTTTTCCAGGATCGTGTGATGATCAACCGTCTGGACAGTATTTGTCAAACAGTTCTGAAAGGAAAGTGGCCCTCAGCTAGAAGAAGTTATGATACCAACACAGTGGCTTCTTTCTATACCACAAAACTGCTGGAGAGCCCTGGTGCAGCTACAGAATATAATGAACCTAGTGTACCTACTCCTCCAGGTGCCGGTGTTAAAGAAGAACACGATCAGTCAGCACAGATGTCAAAGGTGAAGAAGCATGTACGAGAAAAGGAGTTTACAGTGAAAATCAAAGACGTATGTTTATTTTTATTGCCCTAGGACCTGATTGCGATTGCGGTGTGCAGCATGCTTTTCCTGCAGATGGCTGCCTGCTCTTACTCTTACTCTTACTCTTCACATACTTGTTTTCTGGTATTTGGATTGTTTTCTTTTTGATATCCAGGTTCTTAAACTTGAATTTTCTACTAGAAGGATCATCATTAAATACATGTCTCTACCTATACTTCTGAAAATAGTCCTTCTGCTGATCAAGATGCTTTCTTAAACAGTCTGACAAATTCTAATTGTTTGGGTTCTTTTATATAACATTTAAATGCTATGTCAGTGCACTTTCTGTTTTAAACATTCAGCATGCCCTGGTATCAGTAACATTTCATTTGTCAGTATACATTTGAAGCTAAATTCACTACTTGGTGTCTAAAAGTGGGTAATGTCCTTTAAAATCTTGTGAGAATAATGTACATAGAGATACATCTAACGTCAATAGTGTAACAATGTACTAGTCTCATGAAAAACTTCATTTTGGTCAGAAAAGTATATAGCACCTATATTTTTTTCTTTTAAGACAGAGAAAATTTAATGGTCGTAGAAATTGATTAAAATTTGTTCAACCCACTGATGAACAAGAAGAGAACTTGACTGATATTTCAGGGTATTTACTCAACTATTTCTAAGTAAGAAATTCTCTTAATATCCTGCAATGGTTTTTTTTAATCATTTCTTTCTTGATAACGGTATTTCTATGACAGGAAGGTGGTTTGAAGCTGACATTTCAGAAGCAGGGGCTTGCTCAGAAAAGACCATGTGATGGCGAGGACAGCGCCCTGGGGCAGCAGCAGTACCTTGCGCGGTTGCGGGAGCTGCAGAGCGCATCTGACACCAGCCTCGCCAGTTTCCCGAGATCTGGGCCAGTATTGGGTAAATGTGCCAGCAGTCTTTGCCTTCGCATGAATATTCTCTGTCATTTCCAGATCCTCTTTTATCTACTCATGTAATAAAAATTCATTTGTCCTTTAATGTTGGAACCTCCCTTAAGTCTGTAATCACTGTAATTTTAAATCTTAGTAAATATTTATTGGAACTTTTAAAAGGACATTTTTCAGCACAGAGGGCAATTTCATTTTGAGGACTTGAATGTTTGGTTTCCTTTAACTGCTTTTGTGGGTAGTTGATTTTATTTTTTGCCTTTAGTTAGAATTTCTTTGGTCTGCTTTCTTTGCTGTGATTTTATTTTCTCTGGTGACATCTATTTAGCCTTAGGAGTGCTCCCATCTAGAGCAGTCCCTCTGAAATACCCTGTAGAGGTGGTTTGTAGGAGGCAAATTCCCTCAACTTTGCTTGTCTGGGAATTGTTTAATACCTCTTTCATATTTTTTTTCCTTCATATTTAAATGATAATCGTGCTGGATACAGTATTCTTGGTTCAAGGCCCTTCTGTTTCACTGCATTAAATTTATCATGCCATTCTCGTGTGGCCTGTAAGGTTTCTGTTGGGAAGTCTGATGATAGCCTGATGGGTTTTCCTTTGTAGGTGACCTTTTTCCTGTCTAGCTGCCTTTAAAACTCTGTCCTTCTTCTTGATCTTTGCCATTTAATTATTATGTGTCTTGGTGTTGTCCTCTTTGGGTCCCTTCTGTTGGGAGTTCTGTGTGCTTCTATAGTCTGAGCAACTATTTCCTCCCCCAGTTTGGGGAAGTTTTCAGCAATTATTCCTTCAAATACACTTTCTATCCCTTTTTGTCTCTTTCCTTCTTCTGGTACCCCTATAATGCGAATATTGTTCCGTTTGGATTGGTCACACAGTTCTCTTAATATTCTTTCATTCCTGGAGATCCCTTTGTCTCTGCATCAGCTTCTCTGCATTCCTGTTCTCTGATTTCTATTCCATTAATGGCCTCTTGTACCTCATCCAGTCTGCTCTTAAGTCCTTCCAAAGATTGTTTTATTTCTGTAAAATTTCTCCTTAGCTCTTGCATATTTCTCTGAAGACCCATCAGCATGATTATGACTTTATTTTGAATTTTTCAGGGAGATTGGTTAGGTCTATCTCCCCAGATTCCTTCTCAGGGGAGGATGTCTGGGTTAGTCTGGTCTGGATCAAATTCTTCTGCCTTTTCATGGCAATAGAGGTAGTTATGGGGAGCTAGCACATGTGTCAGCTGGGAGAATGTCCCTTCTTGCTGGTTTGTGGCCTTCCTCTCCTGGGAGAACAGTGACACCTAGCAGCTTGTGCTGGGCAGCTGCGCACAGATGGGGTTTCTAATTCTTGCCTGGCCGCTTTGAAAGAAGCTCTGCCCTGCTGCTGTGGGCATGGCCAGCCTCAGGCTGCTACTCCACTATGGCGAAGCCATGTTGGAGGGGAAATGGGCGGGAGGCCGTCGCCATGAGGGACCTCCAAGTAGCGCTGCCGCCCAGGGAGTTAGGGCGCCTGTAGTTCCCCGGGATTCTCACCTGCTAGGCTGAGTGTTCTGGGATGTTTCCCGTGGGGAAACGTGGGGTCCCTGTCCCTTTACGACTTTCAAAAAGCACTCGCTTTTCTTTGTCCCAGGGGCGCCGGCTGCGGGAACCTACTTGCAGGTTTTACTGTCCCATTTCCCTAGTATCCAGCACCCCACGCACTGTGTGTCTGTGCTGCCAGTGCGGATGGCAAGGGCTGGGTATTTGGCTGTCCTGGGCTGGCTCTTGGGTCCTGCGGGGCTGGGGCTTGTATCTTATCCCCTTCGCGATGTGCTGGGTTCTCGCAGGTATGGATGTAGCCTGGATGTTGTCCTGTAATTTCTGGTCTCTCTTTTAGGGATAGTTGTATTTGTTGTATTTTCAAAAATATATATGGTTTTGGGAGATTTCCGCTGCTCTACTCACACCGCCATCTTGGCTCCACCCTGAGGACTTGAATATTTGGGTGGAAATATCAGGAAGCTTTACAGATGAAAGTTCAAATAGCACTTCACTTTGACAGCAGCTTATGAATTTAAAGACAAACACTTAAGTCACTACTGCTGATGAGTACAGTATAATTAACATGAGCCATTTTAGAAAAACTAGAGATAATATAGTCCAGGCATATACAGGATGTAGGAATTGTTTATGGCTAATCCCTGAAAAAAAATCTTTCATTCTCATGAAATACTTGCAGGAAAAAGATTGTTACTACCTTAAACAGTTCTTTTTATTGTTGGGAAGCTCTGATTATCACAAAATTCCTTCTATTTGAAAGCCAATTTTGCCCTCAGTTGGTTCTTCTCAGTGATTGATGTTCTTTTTTAAAAGCATCACAGAATGAACCTATCCCAATGTCTACATGATCATCTTAACATTTGGAAAGCGACCATCATATCTCCCCTTGGGACTGTCTGTATCTCTTCTAACCTTTTGACAATTTGAATCAAGAATTTAGCAAGTCCCAAATTGGTGTCACATGTTGTGTGTTCTGTACTCCTTGAGGAATCCATAAGATGTTTGGTTTGTGTTATCTTGGTCTAGTTTTGCTTTAATTTGTCCCTCTCAAAGTGGTTGTCAAGAATTGAGAATTTTACTCAAGATGCAACTGAGTCTCAGTGTGTGAACCACAGCATACTAATATTAAAAAATGCAGTTTTTCAATTAAAGCAAATGAATGACTTGCATTTCCTTTATATCTTCAATTTCCTAAGGACTAAGTTTCAGGCTAAGTACCGTGTTTCAGAATTCTACTAAATCTGGTTCCCATGGAATACCTGGAAACATTTCAAAACTGTTGTGCATGTGTAGAATTCCTATAATTTGGGAAGATTATGCTTTATTATAAGTGTTTGATTGACTGCTATTTTCAATTGCTGCTCTTATCACTTTAATTAAATTTTAGGTTAAATTATAAATTAATTAGAGTTATCAGCATTACTATGGTCTATAAGGATTCATTAACCATTCAGTATAATTCTGTAAATTACTGGACTTTCAGACATGTATGGATTTGCAGTTGAAATATGAAACAACCATACTTACACCAAAGTATAAATCCCCCAAATTGTGCTTTACAATGGCAGTGTTGTTCAAGAAGCTCTTTTCATCACAAGAAAATAGAAACGGATGGAAAGATAAACTCTGGGCTTTTTTGCCCAGCCTAAGTGAGGTTAGTGATACCTGCTCATACCCTATTAATTTAACCGTAAAACAGGATTTGATACTTTTGTCATCTGAACATTTTATTGCTATCCCAGCTGAAGACTATACAGCTTTCACCTATAAGTCATTCTTTGGTAAATAATACTGTTTTTAATAGTTATCAGTAGTAATTAAAACACTAATTTGCAGATATATAAAATATTTTAGAAGTCTCAAACACTAATAAAACTAGAGAGTTACTATCTAAGCATTATATATCATCCATCATAATTGCAAATATGACATCTAAATCTGTCTTCCTACATGACTGTTAGGAAATCTGTCAACATTTTTGAGTCTTACTGTTCTTGTTTGTAAAATGAGGGGTTGGGAGGAGGAGAGATGTCATATGGTTAGGTGGGTTAAATAGAATATGTAAAGTGGCTAGTATGGAATTTGGTGCATAGTTA